CAAAATCAATTAAAAAAAAAACAAAAAAATAAAAATAAAATATCAATATATTTTTATGTTGAGGCTAGATGAGTCAGTGCGCTTGAGCACTTTTACTCTCTATTAACTGCGAGGTTTCTTCATAACCCCTCTCTACGCCTTGACTAGATTATTGTTTATCACTTCATCAGACTAGGCCATAATTGACCTCAGATCTGCATACCTCCCCGAGAAGCCTGTAACCATTCTGAGATTCGATAACGCGCTGTTGGTAAGCCTGTCAGTTTTCGTAAATAATTTCAGGGCTCTATCCTTTATGTATTTTTTGATTGGATCAATCTTGAGGATGTCATTTGTCAATATATATACTTATAATTTAAAAAACTTAAGTAATTTAAATGTCTTTAATTGTGAGTAACAATTATGAAAGGTTTTCTACTACTAATATAATTTATTAAACTATTGTGTTGTTTTCTAGTGCTGTTAGCTTCTCTTTTATTTAATATATTTTTTTTTCATATTTCTTTCTTTTAATACAGTCACCAGTAATATAGGTAGCCACTGTAACTGCTTTTTCCCTTTATTTATTTATAGTGCTGTTAATTGGCATTTTGATAGCTGTTTAATTAAGTGCACAATATACGTTTATTTGAGTTAAATTTAGCGCTTATTAATGAAACCGCTAAGTAAAAACTTATATATATTAGATACATAGGTTTAATATTTTTAATGGATTATATGATAATATGTATATATGCTTGATTAAAATGAGAATATTTACAGTATAATTGATATGAAATTAAAATTAACTCAACGTTAAGAGTATATCCAAAAACTCCAACAACTCCAACAAACAAAAGCAATTTGTTATTAACGATAAAAATAAGATAAACAAATAATTAATTATTTTATTTAATTTAATTTAATTTCATTTGGTGTCATTTAGTTTTAGTGTCATTTCTTAATACTTTTATTCCTTCTCTAATAAACGGAACTTTGGTTGTCATACTAAAAAGTAAAGGAATTTGTATTTATTTTTTACTTTTTGATTGATGTTACTTTTTAATATTAAATAAAATTTTGATTATTCAGGCTCTCTGATGCTGTTTGATTTTATTTTGTTTATCAAAAACTTGTTCTAATACAAGCGATCAAGTTCGTCGATTTACCAAAGCCGGAAGATGATCATACCAGAGAGAGAGAGAGAGGTTGAGAGAAAATAAAGAGTAACAATCAAACATGTGTACGGGCACTGACCCCTAACTAAAGTGCAATGCCTTTTATATAATATAAGAAATAAACCAAAATTAAAATAATTTCGATATTAGAGTTAGGTATATAAAATATATTTTAACAAAAGCAATACAAACCCGAGGAAGTAAAAAAATAGCACCAGTAGCGGTTATCGAGATGGTCGATAGTTAACTGTCTTAGTTAAAAATTGTCTTAGTTAAAAACATCCTAATATTTCCAAACTATACTGCGCCACTATCTAGCTATTAAGCAAGTCCGCATATCAGATTTTCATTGCCCATTTCTAATCCGTAAGGTAGCTTTTGCTTCCTTAAGATCAAATAAATCAACATAGGCTAATGTGTTTGTAATAATAACCCATTAAAAAACAAACAAGAAATATATATTATTAGTTACAAAATAACGTTTTCTATTCCTTATTTTAAACCAAGGAAAAAAACAGTGAGTATATCCAGAGGCACTTTCATTACACAGTTAGTAAGCCCACTCACTGAGACTTATTGATGTACAAAACTTAAGGCTTTCAGTGCCGCCTTTTGACGTATTTTTGTTTTTATCCGTTTGTTGCCAATAAGATAAACTGTTTTAACTGCACAGCCTATGTGAATATCTATTAAGTGTCATTGTTCCCAGAAGGGAATAATGTTTACATAAACTTTTTAATATACTCTTGACTTCATTTAGCCAATCCTACCGACAAGAGTAGTGGTATAACTTACAGGTTCATTACATCTAAGTTCCCTCATATAAATTGGTAAAGAACTGATAAATATAACAGGCCCACTTTGTAAACTATTTACAAAGGCCCACTATCGGTACTACTTCAACTGTTCAACTGTTATTTTCTTCTGTTTTTGTAATGTATGGCATGTCAGCATGCTTAGGTACTATATATATGTAACGAAGTACCGATTTGAGCCAACTGTGATATAATTTATTTCCAATTTAATTTTTTTAATTAAGATTTTAAAAAAACAACAAAAAGAGTTCACTTTATATACCAGAGTTTCATCATTTCAATTAGTAATTATTAATTAAAAAGTTTTTATCAGCTTGATAAAAAAATGCTTACATTTTTATAGAGAGGGATCAGTTAGAGAACTATTTGGTTTCGAGTACAGATTGTTATTTTGATGGCTTATATGTAATGTATTGCTTGGATGATATTGGCAATATCAATAGTTTATGTTTTAAAAAAATTATTGAAGATAATTTCGTTAGAGAGGTCAAAGTAGACTTAAAGATACATACGTATATATTATTTTATATAACAATATCATTAAGATTTATCAATTTTCCATTGAATTCAAATTCAAACTCGCAGAAACATCTGTTCCAATTAATACCCAGCTTGTGGGACTATATACGTTAATAGTAAATAATTAAATAAAGATATATGAAGTTATTGTCTGTACTTCAGCTTAACAGAAACATATTGTGACTTACAACTATTGATTATGAACAAGTTTTGAATTTCGTTTTTTTTTTATTATTTTCTTAGTATTATATAACACAGTCAATTTCATATTGTCTGTTTTTTTTTGTCATTATAATGAAATTGTTGGAAGAAATATGGATATGGACAATAAACCGCAAGAGTAAAACCAGAGAGCAAATCACTATTGCCCGCAGCTGTAAATTATTAGTGACCATAAACACATTATACGTTATTATTAATAAATTATAGATTTGTGCAGCACCCAAAAAAGGGGGATTCACATAATTATACTCGTATGGAGATTTTGAAGCTTATACATTATACAATATGCAAATTAATTAAAATTTATTAGAAGGAAAGTTTTCAACCATTTCACATTATGAAATGCTTTCGAAAACTATCGTCTGCTTTAAAATCAAGCGACAAATCAAACTTTATTTTTTTTTTTTATAATTTAAAAAATAAAAAAAAACGCCTTTCCACATACTACACTCGTGTTGAGAAATGTCTCTTTTATTCATTTTTATTATTTCTAAAACATTTTCCAAGTTCGTCTGTGGGAATTATGATCTGATCATGCAATTCCGTTATCAAATAATACAATAGAAACCAAACTTGGTTAAGACCAGAAGTCAACTTCCCATTAAGTTAACATTACAACAATACTTCATGAGCTACACTTGCGTGCAAGAAAAAGACGCGTCTTTCCGTTAAAGCCCATTATTAAAAGACTATGTAAGTGCATACTATGTTACATGGCATTGTCTAAAATATGATTTGTTTGTTTTAATTATTGTTTTTTAAATTTTTTCATTTTAATTTACATATTTATTAGAGCAAAAAACTAATGAACTTCCTTCCTATTGAAGTTCATTAAAATGGAATTTATTCGAAGCGTTACGTGAGTAGTGATATTACTTGGATTAAAATTAATTTAAAATATGCAAACGTAATAATTATATGTTGATGATTTTGTAATTTTATCTGTACATAATTACTCGTTTTTTTTTTTAAATTTTAATTAGGTGATAATTCAATGCAGGCTAATTAATTTTGTAGCGATTTCAATATTCACTGACAATCACTGGCATATGCAAGGATACATATATACAGTACTGCAGTCCACAATTATGGAGATGAATAAATTTGTAATTACTGCCAAAAGAATAAACTACTCTTTTCGAAATTAATGTCTTTCATTTTTCCATGATTTAAGTCTTGTCTTGCAGAGCACTTTGAAGATATAGTTTAAAAAGTGTGATATGGAGAACCAGGGTCAAAAGAAAGAATTTATGTCTGAACTGTAGTACAATAACTAATGGCGATTATTGTTCTTATTATTTTATATAATCTATAATGGTGGTCCCGAAATGAATGCAAGAAATTTGGCTCTTGTGTTGAACTTCATTCCCATTAACTCTTCAACATCGTTACAATTCGAAAAATTAATGTGGTTTTTGAAATTAAATCTTAGGCAGCCTGTTAAGTAATAACCTGTTAAATGGCAACTCTACTTTAGTTTATCTATTTTTGTATATTTATATATTTGTATGGTATATTTCGTAAGTCAATAGACCCCACTTCTATATGGAGGCAGTAAGAACTGGAATATAATTGCTGGAAAACCATTCAACGACCAACTCATGCTAGGTTTTGCGAGTATTCCGATCTAATCCATTTAAGTAAATCGCGTTATGGTTCAGAACTAACCAATTTTCAAATACGAATGAAATAATGAGTCGGAAACATAAATGACATTGATATACTCGTTATAGCACTGTAGAAAATAGTTTTTGAAAATAAATCTGAGGAAGAAAATCCGGACATTCATGCAACACAAAGAATCCAAAAAGAAGTCGAGTTGCGACTTTATGAGAATAGCTGGAGTGAATAGCGAACTCTTCAATGAGAGTTGCTTATTAAAGAACCTACGTTCTTTATAGGAACTTTTAATGATTTAAAATCAGTATATATAAAATAAAAAGTTATGCATTGTGAGCTGCAATCGCTTTATTGGTTCGATTCGAAAGTAAAATGCTGTATTTAATCAACTTTAAGTCGCAAAATTTGTGATCCAATGAACTTTTTAAGTTGAATCCTAACATCGCAACATCAAGATATTATTTGCCCTGATCTATGCAAAACTGTATTCAATATCCGGACATATGCGCCAGGAAAACTAGAATAATGGTTCTAATTAAACAATAGGAAAAGGTGATAGGAAACAAT